TTTTTATTAATTTAATTTTTTTATATTTTTTACAGTTTTTTATATTTTTCCATTTTTTTACGTTTATTTTTATAGTTTACATAATATTATTTATTTACATCTATTAAAAATTATTAATATTCTCTCTCTCTCTCTCTCTCTCTCTCTCTCTCTAATATTATTTAATATTCTTGTCTTTAATTAAAATTTTTTGTTTTATTATAAAATCTTCTCATTGTAAATGAAATATTTTTTTTAACTAAAGTTTATTTATTAAAAGTTCTTAATATTTACAAAAAATTATAATTTCCGTCCCCCCTCTCCTTTTTTCCTTATTCTATTATTTTTCATATATTCTATTAGGTGTTGGAATTAATTCGTAGCGTTTTTTTAATGAAAGAATGTTATTTATTTCACATGAGCATTAAAAAATACATTAATGAAAGTACTTCCCATCACTTTCTACTACTTTTGACTATCTTTCGGGCAGTGAATGAATACCGCGTCGGAAGAACTGTTCATCTTTAGATGAAATCCAGGAATCGAACCATTTTGTACAATCTTCGTAAGATGTGAACTTCTGCTCGCACAAGCTATGAGCTAATGATCGAAACAAGTGGTAGTCGCTAGGTGCAATATCAGGAGAATACGGCGGGTGCGGTAGCACTTCCCATTTAAGTGTTTCCAGGTATGTTTTTACCGGTTTTGCAACGTGTGGGCGAGCATTGTCGTGCAGCAAGATGACTTTATCGTGTCTTTCGAAGTATTCCGACCGTTTTTGCTTCAATGCACGGCTCAAGCGCATCAGTTGCCGTCGGTAGAGATCTCCAGTAACGGTTTCATGCGGTTTTAGCAGTTCGTAGTATATGACACCCTTCTGATCCCACCAAATACAGAGCAGGAGCTTTGAGCCATGGATATTGGGCTTTGCCACTGATGTTGATGGTTCGCCGGGCTTAACCCATGACTTTCTGCGCTTTGGATTGTCATAATGGATCCACTTTTCGTCACCGGTAACAATCCGATGCAAAAAACCTTTTCTTTTCTGCCGTTGAAGCAGCAGTTCGCACGTGAGAAAACGTCTCTCAATATCCCTTGGTTTCAATTCATATGGGACCCAATGTCCTTCCTTCTGGATCATGCCCAAACTTTTAAGACGTTTTCCTATTGTTGAGAAGTCAACTTCCAATGACGTAGATAATTCTTTAAGTGTTTGACATGAGTTTTCATTGAGCAGTGCCTGCAAATCGTTATCTTCAAATTTTTTCGGCTGACCAGGTCGCTCCTTGTCATCCAAGTCGAAATCACCAGCTTAAAACCGTGCAAACCACTTCCTACACGTTTGCTCAGCCAGAGCATGTTCACTATACACATCCACTAAAATACGATGAGCTTCAGCTGCACTTTTGTTCATATTAAAGTAATGAAGCAAAACTCCCCGCAAAAACACTTTATCTGGCACAAATTTTGACATATTCAATGAATTATACAGTATAGTTATTTATGATTTCAAGAAAGGTTATGTACGGCAAATGACGTCCTATGATAGATGTTTACAATGTATATTATACAGAACTATAGGTAACAACGAAATAGTGTACTGCTTGTGCCATCTCTTGTAAAACGCTATGAATTAATTCCAACACCTAATATTTATAAATAATTATACTAAAGTAAACCAATTACATGATTACTCTTTTATATAGTCTTCTCCTCTAACTTACACTTATATATTATATTATTTTCCTCTACTCAACAATTCAATTATTGCTTTATACTTATCATTCGCCTTAAATTTTTTATATTTTTATTTATATCATCAATTCATTATATATTATATATTCTAAATATTATTACATTCATATATGTGTTCTTTATCCTTATGTATATATACATGCACATTATATTGAATATAGGAAAAAGTTCGTGGCGATTTTTTAGTAAAATTTAAGTGTTTTTCTTAGAGTATTAAAATCAATTTATTTAAACCAAATATGCCATTATTTTCAATAATATTTTGCCATTTCTGGGGCACAGCCATAATCCCATCACGGTAGAATTTCTGTTTCTGGTCGAAAAACTGCTTCAAGTGATTTTCACAGATCTGTTTTGAAGCTAGCTTTACACCATTATGAGAATTCTGCAGAGACCTAAACAAATGGTAGTCTGAAAGTGCTATGTCAGAACTATATGATGGGTGCATTAAGACTTTCCAGCCAAGGAAAGTCTTAATGCACCCATTTTCTCGCAATTTTTGTCGAGTTATCAAAGATGTATGTGGTCGAGCGTTGTCGTGATGGAAGGCAACACCCTTCCTATTGATTAATTCTGGCCGCTTCCTCCAATTGCTTGTTGTAATCTGTCCAGTTGTTCATAGTATAGTTCGGAATTAATTGTTTGATCGGGCGATAACAGATCATAGTGAACGATTCCTTTCCAATCCCACCACACACACACACACACACACACATACACACACACACACACACATCACCTTCTTCGTCGTCAATTCAAGTTTTGCGATTGCTTGTGCCTTCTTTCTTTTCTTTATCCACGATCTTTTGCGAGTTCGATTGTTGTACGTGATCCATTTTTCATCATCAGTTATCATTCTCTTCAGAAATAGCTCAATTTTATTCCGTTTCAGTAGCGTATCGCAAATGTTAATTCGGTCCATCATGTTCTTAACACTCAATTCGTGAGGAACCCAAACATCGAGATTCTTTTTGTATCCAGCTTTGTGTAAATGATTTAAAACTGTTTTTGTGGTCGATGTTTAGTTCTCTGACAATCTCCATAGTGCTTACATGCTTATCACGCTCGATTTTTTTTCATGATTTCATCGGACTTTTTAGTGATTGATTTACCGGAGCGAGATTCATCTTTCACATCGAAATTTCCAGAAAACGATCGAATCATTTCTATGCTGCTGATTTTGATAGAGTATCTTCACTGTAAATAGCACAAATTTTGTCACAAGCCTATGCAGCGTTGTTGTCTTTATCATAGTAATACTGCAAAATGTAGCGAATTTTTTCCTTATTTATTTCCATTTTCAAAATAAAATAACTTTTAATCTACTTCACCAATTTTAATCTTTTTCGGCTCAAAACAAAGGTTGAAATGTCAGTTTTTAAACGCAAGTCTAGTATTGTCGATGTGATTAGTAGTTACCAATTGCTGAGCATTTAATGCCATCTAGTGAAAAACGCTACGAACTTTTTCCCATACCCAATATATTTGTCTTAATTAAATCTTTTAAATATTTTTTATTATATTTCTATGATAATTTATTGTTTTATATGCTCTCATCTCATCCTTTATTATACTTCCTATATTCTATACTATTTTACATCTATACATTAAATATAATATTATATATTTATTTATTTTATTTTATATATTTTTTATTTTTTAATTGTAATATAATAAATAAAATAAATAAGCTAAAATTTAAACTTTTAGACTCATATTCTAAATATATTGTAGAGGATTAAAATCTCTCTTATTTATTATTTATTT